CCTGGGTGACAACAATGGCTCCCTACGTAAATAAAGTAAAGGTATATTATTTGCTGAAATTTCAAGTAAGTAAAATATTATATTTTTGTTTTTGGTTTTAGATATGATTTAATGTAAAAAAAACCTCTCAAGTGTCACATAAGTGTACACTAGCCCTAAAGTGCAAGGACTATGATGCTGTACAAATTTTCAGTGCAAATATGGCGACAGGTTACCATAAGCGGATCTGACTTCACTGAAAATGTTGAACCTGACCTGGCTTAACAGGCACTTTGTGATGTCTGCAAGTGGTTATGTGCATAATTTGAACAAGTAGGATCCATGCACACTAGCTAAACAAATGCTGGATGAAAAAAAGTTGGTCACATCGAACAGTAAGGGCGTTTGGCCGAATGCACTGTACTCTCATAGTGCATTGTGAGAGTCATGATTGGCCAAAGCCAACAGGTCAGGGTGCAATGCTTTGGCTAATCACAGTACAATGCACTGTGAAAGCCATGATTGGCCAAAGTTACAGTGACTTTGGGCAATCATGGCTCATTGCTAAGTCCATGTCCCACAATATAAAGGGCTGCTTAGACAGCATATGACATGAAAATAAGAAAAGATTGCAATACTAATTGATCCAAAACTGTATCCTTGTAATATCTCAGTCTCACTTATAATAAAATTGTGGATTGTAAACCCAGTAATGCTTAAACAAAACAAAATGGCAGTTGACTAGTGCAAGACCCCCCCTGCCTGAAAGATGGTTAATTAAATCCTATGCGGAGTAATATATCACTACATAAGTGAATGCAAAAATGAATTTATTAGATCACATGGATCATGAAAAAGGTAGACATAGACATGGTGAACATGTTTCAATCATGTTTAAAATCAAAGAATTAAAATAAAAAAACGTTTGGCGTCTTCAAAATGGCTGTATGGGCAAAAGTGATCAATGTGCGGCTGTGTAAAGGTTCCTTCTGTATTCATCAGATGAAAAGTTCCATATGGATGACATACTAAATTCGTTTTCTTCTTCAACTGTTCCTTCAGGAACATCAAAATATTTGTATGGATGGGATCCTAGGAATTAAATAGTGGATTTTCATGAATTTAGGAGAATCACAGGCTTGTCATCTTCATATCAGCTAGTAGGATGCACATATACAAGTAGTTAGATTATAGATTTACATTCATTACCTTCTTTGTGCATGTGTCATATCAATTAATTAGTGGTTCTGTGATGGAGTGTAGGCAGGACAGAACTCACAAAAAGATGGTAAACACACAAAGCTTTATTAAAAAACTACGGAAGGCACTCAATCAGAGGAGGAAGGTAGCGTCCAGGTATCAAACAGGGGAAGAGAGGGGAGGAGCCCACAATAAATGTAATCCAGCCCACAATAGGGCGATTTGGGTAGCGATGGCCCCGAGCACACTCAGGGGGGGCAGTCAGGTAGCTACGATACTCCAGACACGCAATAAGCAGTCCGAGCAAGTATTAATCCCAGCACCCAATAAGGACAGTTTCAAGCAAGGGTAATCGGGGCACACAATAGGGGCAGTTCAAGCAAGGGTAATCTGGGCACACACAATAGGGGCAGTTCATGGCACTCTGCAAACATGCGTCTTCTAGGGACACTCACGGTAAGCGGCTTGCAGACACTCCAGTAGCAGGCGGCTTCTAGGGACAGTCACGGTAAGCAGCTTGCAGACACCTCAGCAGCAGGCGGCTTCTAGGGACACTCACGGTAAAGCGGCTTACAGGACATCAGCAGCAGGCAGTTTTCTAGGGACAGTCACGGTAAGCAGCTTGCAGACACTCAGCAGCAGGTGGCTTCTAGGGACACTCACGGTAAGCGGCTTGCACACACTCAGCAGCAGGCGTTTTCTAGGGACAGTCACGGTAAGCACTTGCAGACACTCAGCAGTAGGCGGCTTCTAGGGACACTCACGGTAATCGACTTGCAGACACTCAGCAGCAGGCGGCTTCTAGGGACACTCACGGTAAGCGGCTTGCGTAAGTGGCTTGCAGACACTCAGCAGCAGGCAGCTTCTAGGGACAGTCACAGTAAGCGGCTCAGCTTTCCAGGGGCAACAGCAGGCTCACGGGAACTCAGCGGGGTCTTGGCTGTGGGGTCTGACCTCAGTGCAGACCTAACACAGCTTTTCTAGGGACAACAGCTAGCTCACGGGGACTCAGTGGGATCTTGGCCGTGGGGTCTGGCCTCAACACAGCCCTCACACAGCTCTCTAGGGATAACAGCAGGCTCACGGGGACTCAGCGGGATCTTGGCCGTGGGGTCTGGCCTCAACACAGCCCTCACACAGCTCTCTAGGGACAACTTCAGGCTCATGGGGGCACAGCAGACACTCAGACTTTAGTAAGGGTAATGGAGGGGCTTACGGACAGTCCAGGCAGGGAAAATTAGGGGGGGGAGCTGTCCATGGACAGTCCAGGCAGGGGAAACGGGGGTATGGACACTTACAGTTCTGACAGGGGTCCCTTCTGGCCCTCAGCGGCCGGCAACAGGCAACGACACTCCTTAGTACACAGTAGATACTCCCACTGAGTATTTCAGGATACACAGCGGCAGCGGATATCCTGGCACACAGAGGCAGCGGGTAATCCTGACACAGGGTATTAGGCAGAGTGCTCAGCGGGGATGGCTGCAGGGGTCTGGCCTCAACTCAGACCCCACTTCTGGCACACAGCAGCAGTGGGTATCTTGGCACACAGCGACAGCGGATAATCCTGACCCAGAGCATTTGGCAGAGTGCTCAGCAGGGATGGTGGCAGGGGTCTGGCCTCAACTTAGACCCCCTTCTGGCACACAGCAGCAGTGGGTATTCTGGCACACAGCGGCAGCGGGTAATCCTGACCCAGAGCATTTGGCAGAGTGCTCAGCGGGGATGGAGGTGGGGGTCTGGCCTCAACTCAGACCCCACTTCTGGCACACAGCAGCAGCAGCAGCTATTCTGGCACACAGCAGCAGCGGGTATTCTGGCACACAGCGGCAGCGGGTAATCCTGACCCCGGGTATTGGGCAGAGTGCTCAGCAGGGATGGCGGCGGGGGTCTGACCTCAACTCAGACCCCACTTCTGGCACACAGCAGCAGCAGCAGCTATCCTGACACACAGCGACAGTGGGTATCCTGGCACACAGCGGCAGCAGATATCCTGGCACACAGTGGCAGCGGGTAATCCTGACCCAGGGTATTTTGTCTCTGGTGGGCGCAGAGCGCAGGAAGCCTTGTGCCCACGCTGCGCCCACTGGGGAGGACACCTTGGTGGCCTGAGCTGGGGATTCTTGGTGGGGGGGCCTGAGAGGTGCTAACCGCAACACAGAGGGCGTTTCCTCCCATCTTGCACAGCCCTTTGATGTGGGCTGGCAGGATGCGAGGAATCTGCAAGGGGGGGGAGGGGCGAAGAGACATGGCAGAGGGACAGCAAGCAAAGGGGGGTGGGGGAGGCAGGGGCTCTCCATGACAGGTGGGTATAAATCTTCTTGAGTGACCAGCATAAATGGAAATTAATCCAAAATATTAAATGGTTCTAAAAGTAGAATGAATAAAAAATAATGTAAAAGATGTATAGATTGGTGCATGAGTATCATACATATGTGACTAATGTGAATTACCATTAAGGAAACCAGAAAAATTTTCCACTGATGAAGTGAAAAACATGGGTATATTGGTAATGGTGTTGAAGTCCAGAGTTTTAAGTATAAAGGTCTCAATAGATTGCATTCAGACAATCATGGTTCATTTTGATGTGCCCCTCTAGGGTTTCCAAAAATTCTTCTTATGTAAGAGCTGATGCGGTTCCTATAGGGATACGTAGGACTAATATCCCATGCCACTGGCTGTATAGCACATGGTATAAATATACCTATTACATTCAAAAATTCCCCTCAAATATAGGGCTCAGATAACTCTATAATTGCACTGGGTATAAGTCCCGTTTCAAAAATTTGCGGTCTATAGTGACTCAGTTTAACACTAGTACTTGACACTGAGTCACTTAAAATCGCCTATAAAGCTCCTCAGAGTGGTTGCCTTGTAGTTTTCCATTTTGCCTCATGCTTATCCAAGATGGAGCTGCGTCGCTTGCTTCTTTCCCCTCGCAGCCTATGAAGACGCTGAGCGTGATGATGTCATTACGTTGACGCGTTTCTTCCGCCAATCATCGCAGACTTCATCAGAACTGGGAGGAGACATCTCTTCCATTGCTTTATATAGTGCCTTAATTGCACCTTTTTAACAGCATATGTCGCCCTCTTGTGTTGAAATGTCATCACTACATTAACCACTTGCCTACCAGGCACTTATACCCCCTTCTTTCCCAGGCCAATTTTCAGCTTTCAGCGCTGCGGCACTTTGATTGACAATTGCGCGGTCATGCAACATTGTACCTATATGAAATTTTGATCATTTTTTTCTCACAAATAGAGATTTCTTTTGGCGGTATTTAATCGCCACTGGGCGCTTTACTTTTTGCGCTATAAATAAAAAAGTGCAAAAAATTTGAAAAAAAAAAAAAAAGTTTCTTTGTTTCTATTATAAAATTTTTCAAACAGGCATTTTTTCTCCTTCACTGATGTGCGTTGATGAGGCAGCACTGACGGGCACTGATAGGCAGCACTAAAGGGCACTGATAGGCAGTACTAATGAGGTGGCTCGGATAGGCGGCACTGATAGACAGCACTAATGAGGTGTCACGGATAGGCGGCACTAATATGCAGCACTGATAGGTGGCACTGATAGGTGACACTGATGATGGGTACTGATAGACGGCACTGACTGGCATCACTGCTGGGCACTGACTGGCGGCACTGACTGGCACAACCCCTGGGCACTGACTGGTGGCACTGACTGGCAGCACTGCTGGGCTGCACTGGTGGGTGGCACTGGTGGGCAGCACTGGTGGGTGGGCACAGGTGGGTGGCACAGGTGGGTGGCACTGGTGGGCACAGGTGGGTGGCACTGTTGGGCACATGTAGGTGGCACTTCTGGGCACAGGTAGGTGGCACTGCAGAGTGGCACAGGTGGGTGCACTGCTGGGCACAGGTGGGTGCACTGCTGGACACAGGTGGGTGATCTGCTGGGCACAGGTGGGCGGAGCTAGTGGGCGCACTGCTGGGCACAGGTGGGCGGAACTTGCGGGTGGCACTGCTGGGCACCGATCATCAGGGCACTGATCATCAGTGCCCTGATGATCGGTGCCGATCCCCGCTCTGACAACTGCCGGTTCTCGGCAGTACTTCCTCATGATCTGACAGCGTGAGGAAAGTGCAGCCGAGAACCAGCACTTGCATTTCCCTCTGATCAGCGTGTCATTGGACACCGCTGATCAGGTGGTAAAAGGCCGCGGTGATTGGCCTTTTACCACATCACGTGATCAGCTGTGTCCGTAGGACACAGCGATCACGGAGATCGCCGCGTGCGCGCACCCTGGGGCACGCAGGAGAGCGCGTTCTGGGGGGACGTCATATGACGTCCACTCAGAACTGGCCGGCCGCAGTGAAGCCGCCATTCGGCTATCTGCGGTCGGCAGGTAGTTAAAATAAAAAATTCCATAGAAAAACATATCATTGAGAAAGAACATCTGGAAAATGGCCAATTCACTCAAATCTATTTCAGACAGTGTTCTTTTTTCCTTGAGTATATTTTCATTTATATTCATCAAATAGCAATGTGGACATTAAAATCAATATAATCCTAAATCCCAATCTCCAAAATTTTCTAATCAAATCTGTTCCCGTTATAATCTTTTCTTTGTTCTTTTTAGTTCACAAATACTTTGAAATTCAATTCGGTATTTAATCCATGTGGCAATAAAGTACCTAGAGTATATATCCAATATTTCTCTTTCTGTAAAAGTATTTTATCAAAATCACCTCTCCTTGAAGAGATATTTAACAGAAAATTTCCCTTTACTTTCAAACCTTCCATTTTCCCTTGATGTACATCCTTAAAGTGCTGAGCTAAGGGATTCTTATTTTAATTATTTGATTTTAAACATGATTGCAGCAGGTTCACCATGTCTATGTCTACCTTTTTCATGAACCATATGATCTAATAAATTCATTATTGCATTCACTTATGTAGTGATATATTACTCCGCATAGGATTTAATTAACTATCTTTCAGGCGGTCTTGCACTAGTCAACTGCCATTTTGTTCTACTTACGCAGCAGCCTTGTGTAGTGTGTTGCTAGAGTTTAGTAGAGTTAGTAGTGTGTTAGGAGTGTTGTGTAGTGTAGTGTACTGTTGTGAACAGGGGTGGACTGACAACCCATGGGGCCCCCAGGCAATTGGGGATCATGGGGCCCCTGTGTCCTTGCCCAAACTCAAAAAATCCTATGAAAAAGGTACCAGGGGCATCTCATGGGGCCCCCTACTGACCCCGGGCCCTCGGACAGTGCCCGAGTTTCCAAATGTTCAGTCCGCCCCTGGTTGTGAATGTTGTGAAGAGCAGTGTAGTGGTGCCAGTGAAGTGTGTGTTAAACAGCACTTCTGCTTCACTGCTGCTATATATATATATATATATATATATATATATATATATATATATATTTTTTATTTTTTTTTTTAATAATTATTATTATTGTTTTTGCTGCATCTTTAGTGTTCCTCCTTCTGCGTCAGTAGTGGTTTCTCTTTTCTTTTTTTTGCTTTCTTATTTTTATTTTTTTTTGCCGCAGCAGCAGCAGAAATATATAGGGAATAATTGCTGCTCCCCCTTCTGCATCGCAGGTGTTCCTCCTTCTGCATCAACAGTGGTTACCTTATTTTGGGGGGCTTTCTGAATCGTATTTTTTTTTTTAATTTCACTTAATTTCTTGCCGCAGCAGCAGCAAAAGTATTTATGGCATATTTGCTGTTCCTCTTTCTGAGTCGCGGGTGTTCTTCCTTCTGTGTCACCAGTTTGTTTTTTTTTGCTACCCCAGTTGCTGAACAATTAAAAAAAAAATACTGTCCCAGCCATAAAAAACATGTTCAGCATCTAAATGCTACCTTGGCCAAATTGCTAGCATTATAACTGCTGTCTTTCCATCTAGTGGACTTTGCCCTCTTCCGTGAATTTGCAGAATGTGCTGTACCACAGTGGCAAGTTCCGAAAAGACATTTCTCTTCAAGTAAGGCCATTCCAGCTCTGTACCATCAAGTGGAAGGCAATGTTTTGGCCTCATCCTGAATTTGGTGGTACAACACTCTTGAACAGGGACCCAGGCTTACAAGATCTTCTGAGGCAGGCCAGAAAAATCTGTTTCCATTTCTGGTGCTCATACATGACCTTCCCCACAACCACCTCATTTGTGACATGCTCACCAGGTGGAACTCACCATTGGCTATGCTTAAGTGGTTGCACATGCAGCAGAGGGCCATCAGTGATTACCTGTGTGAGTATGGCAAAAGGACCCGAGGATTCATGTATCAAGGAGAGGGATCATTAATGGTTGGCAACCCTTCTTGATCCAGGTTACAACAGTAAAGTTGCAGAACTCATCCTGCCTTCACAGAGGGAGCAGAGGATGAAATATCTTGAGTATGCCTTGAAAAAAAATTTGTGTAACACCTTATCAGACACTGGGAGGTTACCATTTCCTGGACATTGGGTTTCGTTCAGTCAAAGGAAGAGTGGTGAAGAAGGCGGCTGGCTGATTGATGCCTTTAAAGGATAAATTCACCTTTCATAATATGTTGCATGTTACATTCATATTCAGGGTGTAATAGTTACTTTCAGACCGGCCCCAGCTCCCATCGATCACCACTTTGACAGCTAGAGGGGGATCTTCTCCCCCCTCACTAGCTGTCAAATTTAAAAAAAAAATGCCCACACAGTCATCTGTAAATGAGAGACTACAAGTCCCAACAGCCTCAGCTTGTAGTCCTCAATGAACTACCATGGTGCTGTGGAGCACTGTGGTAGTTCATTCATTCTTCCTGTCAGAATATCTGCTTGGCCATACATCCCGTACGGCAAGCTGATATTCTGACAGGTCTACAGGAGACCTGCATGGCATCAGCAATCTATTGATATCTGGTGCAATGCTTTCTAGTCTCCTGCAGACAAAAATAATAAAAGCACATTTTTTTACCTGAAAAAAAATGTGCATTTATAATTTTTTTCTAAAAGGTGATCTAATCTTTTAAACAATTCTTTAGTCCTCAATGCCCAGGGCTATTAGGTTTAAGCACCCATCGGCAGCATCTGCATCATATAGTGCAGGATTATCTGGGGGCAAGAGCAGACTTGGAGACCTTTCCAACTGATGATCCACTGGGTAACTAGGTCTTGAAGATGGATCATTGGTCCGAACTTGCTCAATATGTAATCGAGCTACTGGCCTGACCTGCATCCAGTGTGCTTTCTGATTGGACATTCAGTCCTGCTGGATGTTTTGTGATTGATAAAAGAGTGCGTCTGTCCACAGACTCTGTTGACCAGCCTACATTTATCAAAATTTATCAGTCCTAGATCAACAGCAGCTACCAAGCCCCTCATGCTGATGAAACTGATTACATTTGTTAGGTATCTGGGATCCCTTGAAGACTGCCTATGCTGTTTATCCTATTCCTGATTATGCTAGCTTCCAACAATGTTTTTGATTTAGGGTACCACCAACACCCAAGGCCCAATTTTGCTGCACCTGTTTGATAGGTGCATCTTATTTAAATTTCTTTTACAATTGTTTTCTAATGTTTAACAATTGTTAACAGCAGGGCCCATTCCAGCACTCACCAAGAGTAAATATGAGGGGCTATAGTGTTCCGGCACCACCAACCCCCAACACTCAATTTGTCTGCACCTGTGTGACAGGTGCATATAAATTTCAGTTTTTTAGAACAGGGCCAATTCCTGCACTCATCAAGAGTAACCGTAAGTGGTTACAGTGCAGGGGAACCAACACCTAAGACTCATTTTTTCAACACACTGTGTGACAGGTGCATATACAGTCATTTGAATTTTTAGAGCAGGATCCAATCCTGCACTCATCAAGAATAACTCTGCAGAGTTACGGTGTGAAGGCACCACCAACTGTTCGCCCGCCAAACACCCCAAAATGCACTGTGCTCTCACAGTGCACAGTACCCACCCCACACTATATAAGGCTTCTTACACTACAGCCTTATGCAGTGTATTGCTGGACACTACCAATAACCAAGGGGAGAGTACTCTCCCCGAGAAAAAAAAAAATAAAGAAAAACCCTTAGCACCCGCTGAGCACTCACCACAATATGAGAGGTTTGACATTTTCCAATCAGATGTAAACATTTGGGTGGAGCTAGCGGTGAAATTGGTGGTGACATCACTGCAAGCCATGCCTATGTATACCTGCCTCTCACTGCTAATCACATGAAATTTGGAGTGAGGTTTGGTGTTATCATTATTGCGCTGCTGTTTTCTGTGCTGAAGAAAAATGGACTCGAAGACCTATAAAGCAGGTATCACCTTCTTCTGCTTCATTCATTCTGATTATACCTCTCCCTCTGCTTCATGATTATCACCTTCACTGTCTCACAATATCACCAAAATCATCATCATCATATATGCGGCAGAGCTGACATGCCATTCCACTACCAAAATGGCCTCTTCCACACAGGAACACAGTGCAGAACAAAGCATGATAACTCTTCTGTAGAGAGGAAAAGAATGGATGTATGGAGCCCACAGGAAATACCGGTGACTAATCCATTGTCCTCTGCTTGCCATTTTGGGCACTGCTTCCTCACTTCATGTACTTGTGGTTCCCATCTCCCCAATTGAATCTTTAACATTAATCTTGCTTCCTTTACATAATACTACATAATACTAATTTATAGCTTAGCTTGGCTTCCAAGAAACAGATGCTTACAGGAGAGGGCTTTGAGTTGCCTTTTGCAGATTAAGTCCAGCATTACTCATTGTGAAAAACATGATGCCTCACCCTAGCCCTTCTCACCAACTTGTGACAAAGGACAGGTCAATCTCACACTTTTCTGTCACTTGCATAACAATGCATTTTCAGCTGCACCCTGCACAAAGATTTTCCAGCTTGTGAGACCACAATCTAGGTGCTGCTGCCTGACAGTGATTGTCACTTGGTTACCTTACTTAAGCAATTAACTAGTTAATTTAGGCTACCACCACCATCTTTTGACTGAGAAGGAGGAAACCTATCAATAACAACTATGATTTTATAATAAACATATGCAACACACACTGTCACCACAGACAGGTATGTTAAGATATTTGTAATACAGTAGTATTCAAGAGAAAGAGATTCTTTAGTTTGCATTAAAAGCCTTAGGGACAGTTTTAACACTTTTCAAAATAGAGTTTAATAAT